GCCCCTGAGGCGGCCCGCCGGTGCGGAGCGGGGGCCGCCGGGCAGAGCTGGAGCGCGGGGCCGCCGGCGTTACGGGGGTCCGCCCCAGGGGGGGAGGAGGGTGAGCGGGCCGGGCGGCTCTCCGGCGGCTTTGTACGCCCGGCCTCGTCAGGGCTCCCGCCAGGTGCAGCGGTCCCGCCTCCGAATTCCCTTCGAATTAGTGTCTTGAGGTCGCATCCCCTTCTGCGGCTCGGCTTTGCGGGGGACTTTCCGGCTTGGCTTAAGGGAGCTGCCTAGAATTAACTCTCTGTTTTCTTTTCTTGACAGTTTTTGGCTGCCGTTTACGCCCGCAAGAGCCAAAGCTTTGCTAAGTTTTTGACGCTACCGATCTTGGTGAAGTCTCCTCAAAAGCGGTGCCGATCCCGTTAGCTTGCTGTCTGAAATAATGTGGTGGAGATGATAGCCGAGCCCAACGCAGCCAGTAACCTTCCCAGCCAAAAGTAAGACCTGGCACTGGTCGCTTGTAAAATTTGTTGGTAAATCAGGGTGCTGTCCCTTGAATTTGTGCCCTGCAGATACTGGGACAGTCTACAATGTGTCATCTTGGTGGGAGGGGAAAAAAAGGGATTTGCTATGCACTATGTCTTCTTACTAACGTCTCCGTTTTATTCCCTTTTATGTGTTGTTTAGCATCTTCTTAATGTAGTGTTTTATGCTGATTGACAGAGACCCTGGCCTTACAAGCTTTTCTGTGCCTTATTCGCTACAGTGCAAATGAACCTACTTTGAAAAAAAATAATGGGCAGATTCATAGTCAATGCATGTGTTCACTTCAGTGGTGAATTTGGGGGTGCTGAATCTGTAGTCTCCCTGCTGGCATTGAGCGGGGCATTGCTTCTCTGTAGCTGTTTTTATCAGGGATACGTCAAGTCTTCTCCCTTTCATAGTTTTCAGTCATCGGTTGAAATGAGCTATAAACCGAATGTGTTCATATTGTTGTTTACAGAATGGTATTTTGAAGTAGAAAGAGCAGATGTAAATAAATAAACTATAAAGTTAAAACATTTGGGTATATGTTGTCTAGTTCTAAAGAGTGAAGCTTCTTAGATGTCTAGTGTTGCATGCTTTGGACTCGTTGCAGCCCAGCCGTTGCTGATCCTGTCACCTTCTGAGCAAGTCTGCTCCAGGTCTTTTGCTTCATTAAACTCTAATGAAAGCTGAGACATGTATTCCTCATAGTCCATGATGACAATTAATACAGTTTCCCATGTGTCCTTTCCAGTATGTTTCATCTGAAGCCAGCCTCTTAGTTTCAGAAGTGCCAGGAAGGTAACTGGCTATTTAGCTCATCTTCTTATGTAGTAGCTTATGTAGAAGAAGCTGCTCCTTCTTCCTACAAATGTTTAAGTACTTGCTTTATGAATAACCTTACTGGAAACCAGTATTAAAAGGAAAAAGAAAAAAAAAGATTAAGGAGGAACATGAGTATTGATATTATCTGGATTTAAAAAAATCTCTACTTTTGTGTAGGCTCTCTGTTGTAGCACAGTGCTTCCTGTGGCATTGTTATGTGTTGTGGTGCACTAATAATCAAAACAATTTAGAAACTAAATGGCTTTTCAGTGTTAGTATTTAGTGTTTAGTTACATTTGTTGAGTGTTTAAGACAGATATTTAGTGCATATGTGAAAGTTACTCTGACTGGTTTTATCACAGAGATGTTGTTTTACTTGGTGGTGTTAGCCCAACATGAGGAAGCTGTAGATCAGCAGTCGTCTTGTTCTTGCAGGTTTTGCTGAGCTTTGGTAAGCATGCTGTTCTGAAACTAAGTGAATATTCCAGGCATTCACTTACTTTGTTGAGCCCCTTTTGCTACAGGTACATTTTGCCCGGCATAAACTGACAAAGTAAGTAGCACAAGGCCAGTAGATACCATCTGTAGTGCCATCCTTCAGGATGTTCTTGGGAAAGAGACGCATGAGTTTGAAGCTTCAAAGAAGTACATTCTGGACAGAGATATTAAAAGCAGTACGTGATCAGACAAGTACTTGACTGAACTGTCCTGCAGCAGTTCTGATTTTTTCATTATTTAAATGTTTTAATTCAACTTGGACTCAATTGTGGTTGCTGTAATCAAACGAAATGTGTTTATTTTCATTATGGGGTGGAGTAAGTTGTTGGATATTACATGTAAATAGTTCAGGAAAGTTGTTTTAGAGTGTGTTGAGCGTTATGTTGAGGTATAATGCAGAAACAGGTAACACATGTTACCACCATGTTGGCTGGCGTCTGAGTTGTAGTTCTAGTGAAACAGTGCAAGTAAGGACATGTTAGTCCGGCCTCATAATGTTGCAGTCTGCTTTGAAATAAAGAGTGAAAGTATTTAATCACATAGGATAAGCAGCTCCTTGACAAACACGTTTGGATTCTTTTTGTTTATTTGTGGTCTGTAGAAGAATCTGGGAAGAACTAACTGCCGTCAGAAAAGCAATAGATATTGCTATCTCTTGCTGCTTTTTCTTTTCAACTAGGAAGTCTCTGGTGGTGCTTGAGATACTTAATCTCTATGGCTTGCAATTACAAATCAAAGAAAACATTTGAAAACTTTTGCAAAGTATTGCTTATAGTGAACTGACTCAGTTGTGAATTATACTTCATCCCTCTCTTTAACATGCAGAAGTCCAGACAGCTGATGTACGGATTGGTTCATCCCGAGTTATTTTCTTGGCTTCCATCTGTCAAACACTGTGGCACATTTTGAACATTTCTATGACAAGATGTTGATTGAATTTAACTTTCATGGGACTTTTCTGTGTAGGGAAGTTCAGCATTTGTAAAACTGTATTTAGAAATTTGATATATTTTTATAGACTTTTATATTCATATAGAATTTTTAGACGAGTCTTTGGAAGCCTATTTCTACATCGCTTACAGTGAAGTGTTCCAGTAGATTAAAAAAGTAGTGTTTAAATAAAAATGTCTGTCTGCTGTCACTAATGAAATAACGTCAGAACCTTGGTCCTGCAGTTGCTGCTATTCAGCCTCAGGATTTGCTTTGCAGAGGCAATGTCTGACTGAAACAGTCTTGGGAAGAACGACAACAGTGCTTATCTGGCATTGATAAACCTATCTGGGATCGAGCTGGCTCTGCATCCATAGCACAGTTAATTCTCCATCTGGGTTTGCCAGCACTGGGTATTGGAGGGTTGACTGTATCTGACAGTGCAATACACTGTTTTTTTTTCTTTGTAAAGTGGTCACTTGTGTTAGTACACTTTCTTGTTGCAGCAGTCTCATGAAAATGAAAGTAACTGTACACTGTCATGTTTATTTTTGTGCCTTCTTATAGTACAAGTCAACTGGCTTATGTCCTGGCCACCGTAGCTTTAAAGGAGGCCATAGCAGCCAGCTACCAGTACTGAACCTGCTGCACAAGTGGGATCCAGCTCGTCTGCTCAAACATAGCCTTTGGCAAAGCATATTGTTAGCATTGGAAATGATGAGACGTGACATGATTTCATTGCAGATAAATGTATTGCTTCAGATCTCCCAGAAGGTGCATCTTTATTTATAAAATTATTCCTCCATCATATTAGCAATGACCTGCAAATGAAATTTCTGATGTGTCTTTTTTCTTCAGCATGTTTTATAGACAACGTAAAACAGCTTCTTCCCCTCATTTTAAATTGTAGACCCATCAAATGTTATTGCCTTGTTTTGTGTAGAGCACCCATGAAGTGAAGGCATACTGTGTTACTGCTTCATGGTGCAAAGCTCCTAAGTCAACAAAGGCCGCCTTAAGTCAATGTCAGCTTTCTGTTTTGTTTACTTACTTTCTACTTCCTTGATAGCTTTGATAGTCTTGCTAGTTTTCTAATTATATATCTTGCAGGAAAACAAGTAGTTTGAAAAAGGCCTCAAATTTCTGTTGTACTTTAAAGGTAGCTGTTTGGTTTTTAGTAACAAAATGACATAACTTCCAAATGATTCATTAAAAATATTAAAATATGTGTATATGTTGTTATTTTCTTCTGTTGTTTGTACTGAAGTGTGTAGTTCTGTGTTCTCACTGCTAACCCCTGCAATGTGTTTGTTACATTTCAGAGAGAATGCTGTCCATGATGAGACTGTGCCCGAGTCTGCTGTGCAGAACGGCAGTAGTGTGAGAAATGGCAACCTGAAAACACCAGTAAGTGGATTTTTAAAAATTTTTAAGTTTTTTTTTTAATTATGGAATTTATTTTCTGTCTCATTCAATTGTTACAAAATTGAGTATTACATAAAACAATCACAATACAGTGCATCTAAAATCTAGTCACTGGATACAGCTTGACCCCCAAATTCCATCAGCATCAGAGCCTCAATGCTGGCTTTTGAACAGTCAGTTCATTTCAGAGTGTGTTCTTCCTTAGCTGTGCACTGTGTGCAGCTGATGTTAATTTGCAGGCTGTGTGTTTATCCTGTGAGTGAAAAGATGTAGAAGAGCTTCTGTGCTTGCTGTCTATTCTTCAGAAATTACAGATGTCACTGAAAAGTGCCTTCTGGGTAGTATACAAGTGTTCAGAAGCTTATTTTCTGTTATACCTTCCTGTGCTTATGACTCATTGTTGAGAAAAAATTCAAACTGGTAAATCCTTTCTTTCATCCCCTTCTGGTATGGTCATGTTTGATAAGACTTTATCAGTGTCCTTGAAGCTTAAAAGTTAGCACCCTGGGGAAATCATTACAATGAGAGCAAAATAAACTTGTTCTTAGGGGATAATTTGTGTATCTGTGAATGGCTGTTACGTGTTGCATTTTCTCACATACTTTCTTTCCTTGACTTGTTTCAGAGAGAGAAACGGAAGGTCCGAGAAC